TGAGTACAGCATGGGACAGTATTGGACCAATACAAGGCTCCATTGACTGTCATTATAATTTATTAAACATTAATATTTCATAAACTATAACTTTTACAGGCACCAAAAGGCATTGACATCATTTGGCACAGGAGCTTTACAGATATAAATTACAATGGCAGCTCTAGAACAACGTATGCAGGAGGAGAAGCATGGCAAAGTTGAGATGACTTGGATGGGAAACTAATCAGATTAGATTAGACTAAACAAACATGACAAATAGCATGTAAAAGTTTTAGTGCATTTAACAAATGAGTGACACATAAAACTTTTTTCTATGAGGGCATCTGATCAGTGTGCATTGCCAATGCAATGCACACTATTGTGATTCGTTCCCCATCCAAGTCATCCTCTGTTTCGGCACACTTCTCCTCCTACATACTTTGTCCTAGAGCTGCCATTGTAATTTGTATCTGTAAAGCTAATATGTCAAATGCAGGCTATGATTTTTGGTGCCTGTACAACTTATAGTTTTTGAAATATTAATTTTTTAACTTTTTTAATGGGTGTCAATAGAGCCTTGTATTGGTACATTACTGCCTCTGATTTATGTGATCAGCTTGGTACTGYACCATACTTTAATACTATTTAAACTCAGAACTTCAGTGATCACAATACTAATTTCTTTGGATTTTAATGTTTTACTATAATATTGTCTTGAAAGCATTTACATCTTATATAATATTGCTTTATTGTTGTAATGTATAGTAGTAATTCAGTGCCAACGATCATCATTGGTATAGGTGCCTCTTTCTACAAATATAGAAAAAAACACTGGGACTGTGCTTTCCCACTGCTCCAATGGTCTCATGGTTAATGCTATGAGCTTTCTTGTGGGAGATCAGGGTTCAAAACACAGCTACAGCAACTTGAACATAAAATCTCTTCAAACTTCATATTGTCACACAATTACCCTCATTACAAACACCTGCTGACTTGACAACCACAAGATGGTATAGAAAACACCTTGAACTTGGTCACAGTTCATTCTGCAAGTCCACTGCTGCAGGAAAGGCATGCTGCAATGACATGCTACATGGCAATGCACACTTGTTTTTACATCGTACAAACCCATGTCTAGTTTGATTTGATTTTTGATTTATAAAGTTTATTCATTCCATAAAAAAACAAAATTCTATGTACAATTAAAAAGAAAATACTAATAAAATGAAATGAAAGGTGGCAGAGAGAAGAATAAAATCTTATAATATCTGCCCCTTTTTCACAAGTAGAAATTCAAATTATAATAATCTTCAGTTAACAAACAAACAAAAAAAAACTCTGAATCTTTCTAGAACAACAAAACGAATGGCTACATATTGAACCATTTCATATTTTTTTTAACAATCTAGTCTTTATCATTCTCTTAAACATGTACATTGATGTGGCACTTTTAACATCATCTTCCAAATTATTCCACAATCTCATTCCTTAGTTTGAGGTGAATCGTTCTTTCAAACATGTTCTAAATTTAGGGTTCATGAACATCTCTATTCCTGYAGATTATAATAGCTTTTTCTCTTCTGACGGGTTATTGTCGTGGAGGTTATGGGCACTCCAGATGTGTTATATAGTGCTTTGCTAAATTATTGTTTAAAATTATCATGGTTTTTACATAATCGCTCCTTCACCAGGTCGGAGACCAACTGTCACTGATACAGAGCTGAAAGAGTTTGAGAAACAGGCTGAGTGTCTTGGTTGGGCCAAACCGCTGGTCTTTAACAYGGATCATGGTGAGAATTTTTTTAATCAAAATATGAAACCTCAAATTTCATAAATTACCTCGAGCCATACAGTATAAAGAAATTGATATATATTATATCAACTGAGATATAAGCTGTTGTTGCCACTTGTTGAAATCCAAATGAATGTTTTAACAGTCCTCATTGTAGTGGTGTCCTCCAGGCAGGACCTTGATTTTCCAGTAGTTTTCCAATATTACTTACTTACTTATTTTTTTTAATACAGGCCAGAAGGTTTGTTTTTAAGTTTCCATTTTTTCTTTTTCCATTACAGAATATGATAACTGCCCAAACATTCATGAGGACATGTCTGATGACGAGGCTGAAAAGCTACTGACGGACTTCTTTCCCAAGATGATGGAAAGACTAAAAAATACTCATCATAAAATCCTCAGATGTCTGGTAGACATGGTTGTGTCCTATGTGCCAGGGGGGCTCACCGTCCCCTTCTAATCCTGAACTTCTCTGGTATTTTCATGTACCCTATGGTCCACTCTTTCAGAAAATGTGTGTTAACAGAAAAATTTGGGTCTCACTGCCCAGTGACCCCTTTTTGACCACACCCCTTTTCTACTGAGACCATCAAAATTAGGGGTACAGAAAGCTTAAATGCCAATAACTAACCAACCAAAATTTACAAACATGGTATCAAGATTTGTACTGATTATTTCTTCCATTTACACGGCATTTCATTAAGCAAATTTGCGCTCAATGATGTCATCAGGGGGTCAAAACATCACAACCCCAACAGAAGATGAAAATTTTCATGTTTTTAGTTTGTAACTGAACTTCTCGGGTGTTTTCATGTACCCTAGGGTCCCCTCTTTCAAAAAAGCATGTTAAAAGAAAAACATGTTGGGTCTTACTGCCACCTAGGGACCACTTTGTGACCACACCCATTTTCCATTGTGACCCTCAAAATTAGGGGTCTTGATTAGCTTGAACTTCAACAAATTCTAAAGAAGAATTAATGTAAAATTGGGGAAATTCATGTATCAGAGCACAAGTAAGCTGGTCACACACAGAAGAGTGTATCATCTAATTGTCCATTTGTCTCCAAACTTACCAAATGCTTCTTGGTCAGCCTCATTGTTCTGAAGGAGCTTCATGCCTTTCACTTTGCCTTTTCCCTTAAAGGCACTTGTACTGTCACATCCTGTGTAGGCATGTAGACATAGCAGCGCAGAACACATTTTTGGTGAGAAGGATTGAGTTAGCCCTGTAACATGTAAGCAACAATTCAATTTTCCTTGCTTGTGGCCACAAACCGTTACTGACATGCATTCTGACCACCTTGGTCCATTCATTTTAAAAATTATCCTTATTTGATAAAAACAATTTCCAGTCTTTTGGTCACTTTAAGCATAAAAGCATATAGATCTTTCAAAACAGTAAGGCTTACTAAGAGGCATTTGGTAAGTTTGGAGACAAATGGAAAGGAGATGATTCCCTCTTCTGTGAGTGATAAGTTCACTTATGCTCTGTATGGTGTTATGTGGGTCTCTTTTCACATACACAACTCACCTGCAATCATGCCAACCATTTGCAGGTATGGTCGACCTACGTAAATGGGCGACAGCCTTCATCTGAGAGGGACTGGGGTCTTGCTTTGTCTTCCCTCTACTGCAGGCTGCTTGAGTGCAACTTGGATGGTGGCCTCCATCTACATCTACTCTTTAGTTTTAATAAACCTTCTTTTAGTTAATTCCACATTTTTGTCTTTGGTTTCATTGTGTTAAATCCTTTTGAGCCAGTGGTTGGTAAGAATGGTAATCAGATAATCACAAACGTAAGGTACATGAACCTGCTCACCAAATGGTGAAGGAAGGATGCAAATTTTTCAGAGGTCATCTAGTCTTGACTTGTCTCCCTTCTCACTATGTCAGGATAGTCTAGAGCACATGTGTCAAACTCAAGGCGACTCCCGTCTGGCCCGCCAAGGGGGAGGGGGGGGGGATTTTATATATTTTTATTTTTTTCTCAATATAAAAATTGTTTCTTATATCAATGGTAAACTTTAAATTTATGATTAAATGCAACAAAATAAAAAAAATTAAAATGTGAAAGATAATAATTGTCCTGCCCCTGAGTTGTTGCATTTAAGTAACTGAGAAATTTAGTTGGATAGCTCAACAGCATCAACAATAAACTACATCTCCCATAATGCATATCATCCATGGAAATTCCCTGTCAGAAAATGGGAGAGTTCAGAATTCAAGATGGCAGCTATTCACTAGAAACTCGGTGAGTAAAACTCTATTAGTATTACTTTGAATATAAYTTCATTATTTATTTCACATTTAGTCAGTCGTACACTTAGTTCTTATCAGTGTTTAAAAGAGACACACATTAAAACACTGTTTAGTCAAAGGTAAACATGAAATGTCAAAGTTAACTATAACTGGCCCTGCGAGGGCCACCATAATGTTCATTTGGCCCTAAAAATGAATTTGACACCCCTGGTTTGGAGCAGCATGTTAAGTGTGTCTAAAAAAGTTAAGTAGGTTTTCTGACGGGTTCTTCTTTGTTGAAAAATGTTTTGTCTCTCCTCCATGAGACTTCTCCAGTCTGAGGAGTTACTTTAAAACAGACGAGCTAAATCATCAGGCCAGGACACGGCAGTCTACACTCATCTACAGGTCAGTAGTCACTCTTTCAGGGATGAAGAGATTCTCATCCTTGATAGAGAGGAACAGAACATTGGTTTGAGAAGACCAAAGGCCATGTTTGTGAAGAAAAAAAAAACATCTGTCCTTCAACAGGAGTTGTCCCCCTCTTACAGCACTGATTGACAAACTAGAGGAGACCACCCATGGTGAAGTCAAAGAGTCCTCGGACAGTGAAAGGGATTTTGAAGACAGTGGAAATGATGAGTGGGTTGGACAGTGATTCCAATGTGAAGGTGACCTTTAACCTGAAGAACTGATGTGAGAGTGACAGGTTTAGTGCATGCCATTGGGCATAAATATGTATTAAATTAATCCATTAATTTCTCCAATTTTACATCAACCAGTTTTAAAGAAGAACTAAAGTTCAAGCTAATCAACAAATARTTCTGTGAAAGCCTTTCASTTTCAAMAAACACTTGTTTCTGAATGTTCACTAATGGTCTAATGTGTTACTTTTAACCCCTGGCTGGTAACRTGGTCTGTTGCACAAATAATCAACAAAAGCACATCTAAGTGAGAGACCATCAATATCTATCCTTTAACACCAGATTTATGACATTTTATTCTGACGTGGTGAATCTACATGTAAGTTTGACATCCTGGAAATTCTGAACTGTGCACACAATGAGTAGGAGTGTGGTCAAAAAACTGGTCCCTGTGGAGCTGTATGTACCAAATTTTATTTTAACAGACTTTTTTTACTGAATAAATGGATCCTAAGGTGCATGAAAAGGCTAAGTAAGTTGAATATTTAGGATCTGTTGGGATATTGATGGCCTGCCTGCCTCCTTCCTGCCTGACTGATGCAGCTGCAGCTGATTGGTTTGATTGGCTTGGTTCCCTACTTAAGGCTCATTCTGAGGCTGGGTTGACGCTGGAGCTGCTCGAGACCTTGMAGTTGCTCATGAGTTGAGTTAAGAAGTATTATTGCTAGTGATGGGGTGATGATACCTCAAKSAGTGTATTGATACACTACACAAACTGTGTTGGCTCTGTATTGATACAGTGTTGGTCACTCAATAGTGACCCCATAAAAATTCTAAAATTATTAGTGTAACACTGGAGTTGATGAAATTTAGTTTCACCAAGATGAAATCTGGGTTGATCTGACATAAAACAAATTTGACAGTGATGTAAATTCACATCTACAGAAAATAAAAAAGGTTTTGTTGCTGCTTTGTTTTGCATTTTGCTTCTTTCCTTTAAACAATAAAACCAGTAATGACATGATTTTTCATTGAAAAGGTTTTTCAGTCTCAGATGAGTCTGTCTCTTTTTTTGTTGCTTTGCTTGTTTATTAAAAATATTAATTAAAAAAAAAGAATGGAAAAAAGTCAAGTTTTGCTTGCCTCTTAAAATACAAACACAGAACAAAACTGCAAAAAAAAAAAAAACTTATTAAAAGCAACTGGGAAATGAGTCAGAACCCAATATTGTATCACTAGACTATTTAAAAAAAAACAGAAAAAATGTCAATTTTGTCTTTCGTTATGACCTTTATGATTCTAATGATTGTACCAGGTAAAAGGATGCAGAATGAAATCAGCCTTTTATTCATTATTACTGTAATGTTTGTTGGATTTCAGCTAAACACAGAATGTTCTGTCTCCARATCTTTAGATATGCTGCTTTGATTCTTGGTATTGTGAATGCATACACAACTGGGTTGACAACATGAGAAAGCACAATGGCAACATAAACAGCTGGGCCTGGTAAAGCATTTGGCCTTTTGAAGTAAACAATACAATTCATTATGTGAAAGGGGAGCCAGGACAGGGCAATCAGGGCCAAGACCAGAGACAGTGGTGCTGCCAGCTGTTTCTCTTTCCTCGGGTGATTCTGTCACTGATTTGGAGCACCGCTTTTCTCTTCAAGCTTTTCTCAGAAAGGCTATAAGAAGACCTAACAGTACAAACAGTCAGCACCAAAAGAGGAGTCAAGTTGCAGAGAAAAAAAAAAGCTTTACCGCAGATGGATGACTGCAGGTAACGGTCCAGCAGGCAAATGGAGTCAATAGTATGTGTMGCTGATGAAGAGACAAATGTGGAATGAAATCATCCATCCATCAACACAGCCAACTGCATGATCCAACCACAGCCAGAGACACAATTAGAAAGGAGGTGGGCTGTTGGAAGTGTTTGGTTTTCCACAGAGCCAGAATGTGACACAAACAAACAGCAGAAAACAGCAATGAGGACCTCTATAAATCACTTAGAAATAATACAAATAATAAAACCAGAAATGCAAATTAACACCTGAACAAGAAGCTGTTATAGTGCATGTAAATGAAAGCAGTGGCACCTTTGATGTTGTTTCTCAGTTTACTTGATAGAGTAAAGTAAAAGATGTGGAAAAAAGGATTATTATTATTATTATTATTATTATTATTATTATTATTATTATTATTATTATTATTATTATTATTATTATTWWTATTWTTAWYRWTWWTWTKWTTCAACACAAGACAAACCTGTAGAGCTCATATCATACTGTCTGCTGTTGCCATATTAATCACTGCAGTTTGTCAGTCTGAAATCAGCTTCACAAAATCAGGCTTTTTATGAAGAAAAATGTGCTCCTGAAAATACAAATAATTAAAAAAAATGTACAAATGCATGTTGGACTTTCAGATTAAAACAACACACTAAGCTGCACTGGGCTAACATTGTGGCAAATATCTGCAGACTTTGAGGATGCGCTGATGCTCGTGCAGACTGATCTTTGGCTTATTCCTGCCGTTGCATAGCAACCCGAACTCCAAAACGAAGAGGGCTGTGATAATTTAGTGTTAAATATACCAATGTTCTTATTTAAGTGACAAAAAAAWAATAATAATAATAATTAAAAAAATCACAATATGTAGCCTTATAGGAGGACGAAAGTGTAGCAAACAAAATTAATATTTTTAAAAAAGACACATCTGTAACCTGTAGCGTACGGCTTTAGGACCCAGGTGCGCAACAAGCCCGCAGACACCGGTTGATGAGATGGTCCGCTCGGTACCGTGCGTCTCATAAAGCGACCAAACAGCGTCTTTCTGTCCAGAAACGCGAGGTTAGTGGTGAACTTAGTTGTATGAGACAGTGGACTCCAGAAATAATTGAGGAGCGGAGGGATTTTTTAATTTTATAATTTTTATTATTATTATTATTATTTTTTTTTTTATCTGTGTTTGTCCGTCCGAGCAGTGGTTGGAGAAGAAGCACCGTCGCGTATCGCGCCGGCGACAGCCACCATGAGCCAGAGGTTCACCGTCTCCAAAAGCGACGGCGACCCGCGCCCCTCGGACATCCAGGGGGAGGTGAACCAGCTGTTCGAGGGAGACGAGCCCCCGAGCTGCAGCGGCGCGGCCGCCGGCGGTGCCGAGGCGGTGCTGAAAGGTAGGGGAGAGACCCTCGCGTCGGCTTCACTCATCCTTGGCTCGTGGGCTAGCGCTCTTTACGACATTGTCTCGTTCTTCCACAGACTCCACGTTTGTCTTTGTGTGCGACTTGAATACTTAATCACCTGCCAGGGCGCCTGGTCAACAACACATGCACCGATGCGTTAGATAAATGCAGCTTGCACATAACTGTTGCTTTGTTTGCACAATTTTATATGGCATAAAAACAAACATTCAGCATTAGATATGCAACAGCATCACGTTGAGCCCCCCGCCCCTAACATATTTACAAGTTTATTTTCATCCTTTTTCATTTTTTCATTGTTTCATCCTTTTTTTTTATTTCCTTAAATGTGCAGGCAAATTGATTGCTTCCCTGCTGTTGTAAAAGGATATATTACTGCAGAGTTACACATCTTGCAGTAAATATTTAATATCTTTTGCCAGCATTTATGGCCCACTCCAAGTTAGTAATTATTTATTTTACACAACACAAGCAAAATCCCCGGGTTTATTACAAGGAGGGAATTTGATCAATAGTGAATAAAAGACAGCCAATCAATCTTCCACATGCTCATCTGCTCTGCTTAGTTAAAGCAATTTCCTTCAGTGGACCCTCTGACTCCTTCCAGCCTGGTCTTCTGGGAACCAGTGGCACAATCCTATCGCCGCCTCACCTTATTGAAATAATCAAGGCGCTGTCAGTCATTGTGGGAATCGAAAGCAGCAGCGCAGAACAAATGGCTGCTGAAATTCCCCTTCGGTTCCACAATGGAAGCCTTTTGCCGTTACCAATGATTAGCATGTGAAAAAGTGCAATTCTTCAAGTCCATTCAAGTACAAAGATTTATAATTCTTTGTATGAATGAATACATTTCATTAAATGGTTGACCTTTAAAGGCTGCTACATTAATGACATTCCTTATTAATGGGCAGGCCGCCCAAGATTCCCACTTCTCTTACTGAAGCGTTGGCTGATAGTAAGCTTAGTTGTTCAGTTTGACTTGAACCTATTTGTCAAAACCATTATTGTAACATTATTATTATTACAATGTTTGCTACTGATTCATAAGAATTGACAGCAAAAATGTAATTTTTTGTTGCTATACATTTTTACGTGACAAAATGCTGAAATTTTCACCGGGTGACGACTGGATTGATTTTATGAATGTGTAGATATTCATTCAAAAATATCTAAAGTGATTTTTTTTTTTTGGGCATTGCATGTATCAAAAGCAAAATATGCAAACAAACAACAAGAACTTTTCACTTAGATCATTTTCTTTTATTTTGTTTACCTTCAAGGCCATACAATTCATTATGTTGCTTCAATGGAAGGTCTTATGTGATACATTAGAGAGCATATCAAGGTTTAAAGGTAGCAATGTTTAGGCACCCCATGGGTTAATGTAAGTTTTGCTCAATAGTTCTGCGGCGTTGAACTACCACATGTTGCTTTATTTTTCCCCTCTCATACACAGCTCGTGTATAATTTTAAAATTTTTTTTTAATATTTCCAAACAGTGGCTATCAACGCAGAAAGTGCCTATTTATATCAGCTAGATTGTTTTTCCACAATTTAGATCCCACCTTTTACTTTTGTCAACAAGACATTTATAGCATTAGTTAATAATAAATTGATGACATGTTTTAAATGGTTTTGAATTGTTTAAATGGTTCATAATTGTTGACGTCCGCATCGTAATTCATTCAAAAATAGCTTAATAACAGCATGCATTGAATAAATGTGTTGTTTACTTCTAGTTTTTTGTGTGTTTGTGTTCCAAATGAACAAAAACAAACCAAAAAAATAAAATGAAAGTAAAAAATAAATAAATAAATGTTGTTTTTAAATGGTCTTGTGTTCACAGCTGATAAAGCATTCAGATAATGCTTGATTTTATTAAATTTCATCCTTCTTATATCAGTTTTAGGGCTGTGAAATTAATTGAGTTAACTCTGATTAATTTTAGTGCTGCATGGGCATAGATTAAAAATTTTAATCGTGATTAAAATTTACAATCACTTTACTATGGCTGAATATGTAGGTTTGTATATTGCAATGCAACCCATTCTCACTCCCAAGGCGTCACATAGTGACGCTTTGGCAAGGTTCCCTGTACGTCCGATTTTGACGCGCAGGGTACCCCCGTCACGTCAGTTACTGACGAGATGGSGCGGAAGCTGTTGTCATATTTTCAGAAAGTG